CCGTGGGCCTGGGGGGAGGAGTCACCTGGCCGGAGTCTGCGTGATCCCTGGGCTGGTGCTGGGCTGTCCTCACCCCGTCCCCGGTCACGCGTCCTGCTGGTTCTCGGCGACTGAGAAACATCCCCACTCAGGCCCAGACCCAGAGCCACCTCTGACCTCCGCCCAAGGCACCTGTGCAGAGTGTCACTTACGTGGCACGCCGGCTGCGGAATCCCGAGGGCCCCGGGTGGCTCTGGCCACGGCCTGTCTGGCGCTGGTGGAAGGGTCCTGTGCCACCATTTCCTGGTCTGCAGTTCAGGGAAGACCGAATCGGTCCGAGGGGCACGCCCTGTCCTTGTGCGCACACAGGGGCTCCCACACGGTCACGTACGGGACTCAGCCAGACACAGCGCATGCGCCGATGGCCCCGAGAGCTGCCGAACGCCGTAGATGATAATGCTGGGTGTCTCAGTACATTTGGGGGGGACCCCCCAGGCGCATGCCCACAGCCGGCTGCTGGCTCAGAAGGTGTGCGCAGATAAAATTCTGAAGCACGGGTATCCCCACAGGCTTCTGTTAAAGGCCGTTCCGATGTGTACGCACAGCACTAGGCAAGGGAGCACTGTTTCGTGAGTCCACTGTCCCTTCTCTACCCAAATGCCGGATCAGGGGGCCCTTGTCTCTTCTCTAAATTTTCAGAGCAAAGCAGCAGACATCCATGTGGCTAAGGATTCGGGGTTCGGTTCGTTGGCTTCTTTAGGGCACGTTCCTGCCTGGCCAGGGGGCTGCAGATTTCTGAGCAAGGGAGGGGCCTGTGGCCGAAGACTCCCCCTCAGAGCTAGTAGAACACGGAAGCAGGAATCCCAGCCGTTGGGAAGCACCACGCGTGTCCCTGTGTCACGCTTCACGCTCGCCTGTGTCACGGACGTGCTTGCCTGTGCAAGAGGTCAGGCACCGCGCTCAGATCCCGCCCCAGGGTGCAGCCGGGGACCCGGGCTGTGCCAGCCACTCATCCAGTCCCCGGGGGCTTGCCTGGGCAGTACGAAAATAGAAATACCTACGTCCCGGAGTTTTGGAACTAAATACTCTCTGGGTTGTCACAGTTTCTGGGAAACCACGAATGTCGAGCTGTGTTGGCCGCCTCCGTGGGCTCCAGCCGCCGGCCCTGCATTTGCACCTGAACAGCTGCGCCGTGGGGGACGACAGGGACCCCCACGGGACCCCGCACCTTCGACCTGTCAGGTGCTGAGGCCCACGGAGGAGCATCGTGTCCAGGGTCCGTGGAAGAACTCGGACAACAGCCCAGCTCTGGGTGCCCCCTGCCAGGTCTCACCGCCCAAATCCCCCCCTCCCCCCAACGTTGGACACCGGAGCAGGTGATGGCTGCGTGAAGCTTTGGGGCCCAGCGTCGCCCCCGCGTGAGCACGACCTAGGTTCCCTCTGAAGGCACCTGAGATCGGACACACGTTCTGTTCCTGATCGGATAAACACTGGTCTCGGCCAGTGTGGGTTTCCCTTGCTATGTTTGCTAAGGGCGGGACGGTTCTTCCTTCGAGACGTTTTTTCCCCGGGGCCTTTCCCACCTTATCAGCCCTCCGCCAGCCTCTGTGTTGCAATGTCAGAGTTTAGTTTACTATTTATTCTGCTGCACAGCCGGAAAAAATATGAGTTTGGGGGACATCACCGCCCAGCTGAGCCCGCACACCAGCAGGCACTCGCCCCTCGGTACCCCAGGCCCGGCCCATGGGAACTGGCTGCACTGCGGCATGACCCCCAAGTCCTGGGTACCCACTCTTGGCACTGTGTGCTCTTTTCGACGGCCTTGAAGGTCATTTCCAGGAGCCGGAGGTCACGTAGCCTCTGACAGCCACGTGACAACAGAGACCTGGGGCCGAACGGTCCTGAGGTCTGGTTGTTAAAACGTCAGACACAGAACTTTGAAAGGGTCCAGACGGCTGTGTGTGTGCTCGGCGGATCTGGAAGGGGCGAAGCCAGCGCGTCTTGGCTCGCGGCTCTCTCCGGGGTCACCCATACTGAGTTTTCACGCCCAGCGGTGACACACGTTTCCTTTTCAAAACAGACGGGTTTAAAATTTGAAAGGGATTCCGACTCGTGAACAATATTGAAGTCATTGTCTAGATGCTGGGCCCCCGGGTGGTACACGAGCGGGCAGCTTTGGGGGGGCACACCGACTCTCCAAGCCCGTGTTCAAAACCTGACGGTCCGCAGACAAAGACAAGTGCCATACGATTTCACTCACGCGTGGAATTTAAGAAACGAAACAGATGAACATGTGAGGAGTGGGGGAGGGAGGAGACGAGAGGGAAACGAAGCAGAGGAGGGAGACTCTCAAAGAGAACAGAGTGAGGGTGACGAGGGAGGTGGGTGGGGGATGGGCACTAACGGGGACACTTGTCTGGATGAGCACCCGGTGTTGCATGCAAGCGATGAGTCACCGACTTCCACTCCCCAAACCAACATTGCCCTGTATTCGAACTAACCAGCGATAAAAACAAAAACCTGATGGTCCGGTGGGGTCAACGTTACTGCTCCTCTTTACTGACGGGGAGAGGCTGTCAGCAGGGGGCACAGCAAGGGACATCACTCTGCTAGTGAGATGCCTTGATGGGACTATGAGTGGTCTGAGGCTCTCCTCCAGTGACAGGGACAGGGGACAGGGGACAGGGAGTCCCTCCCGGGCAGACACACTGCCCCCAGCCAAGTGTCAGGGCCGTGACCTCAGCTCAGGTGGCCACCACAGTCCCCCTGTGTCCCGCATCGGTCCCGCCCTCTCCGCTCAGCACACAGCGTGGAGTTGGGGAGGGGGCTGTTGGGGTGGATGCCCTGGAACCAGGGCGGTGGTGGTTCTTCTGTGGGAATCGGACCCTTTCTCCAGGGGGGGTGAACAGAACGTGGCCCTTGCACTCCCCACCCCGCTCCTCGGTCCCCTAACCCTCCTACAACCGTCCAGGACAAGAGCCCCGCACTCCAGGAGGGAACTGGCAGCTGCCTGCTCCTTCTGGGGGTGGGGTGCGAGGGGGATGGTCTCCCAGTCCTGCGGGGACCTGGTCGCTTCTACCAGGAGACCTTGCTCCTAGAAATTGCTGGCAGCTCATCCAAGGAGATGAGAGCTGTCAGTAAGGTGGCTGTCACTGTGTCACAGGGGGAGCCGCGTCTCCTCCTGCCCTGGGGTTCCTTGGGGGCAGGGCTGGAAGCGAGGATCATCGCTCCCTCCCGGTCGAGTCTGGCACAGATGGCCGAGAGCCAAGCCAGGTATGTTTTCAAGGAGGCCAGGAAGGGGGGTCTGGGGTGCGGGGAGGGATGGGAGCTGCCGCTCTGGACTGCATTTTCTAGAGATCACATGCTTTTTTTTTTTTTTTTTTGGCCGTCTCTCCGTGCCCGAGGGGAGGCCAGCCCGTGGACTTGGTATCCGTCAGAGTCTCTACTATTTCAGGTGCCTGGCAGCAGTGCCCATAATTCCTGCCACCCATTTGGTGTGGGCCAGCTGTCTCCTCTCCTGTGTCTGAGATGGAATCCGGCTGCCTCTTCTTTCCTATTGATCTAGAAGATAATTCTTGGCCCCACCAAGGACACAGAATCTGTTCCCCTCTAGAGAAAGGAAATGGGGTTCTAAGACTTTCTGCAATGGGGGTAGGGAGGCGGAAGGGGGGGCAGGCTACCTACAGCTGGCCTTGGCAGGTGGTGGGTCGGGGCCACTCTCTCGGAGGCAACGTGCCGTGGGCATCTGCGACTCCTGCCAGGGGCACCCACTCTCCAGCAGGGTGGCACTCCATCCTCTCTGGCTTGAGAGAGGGCCAGTCTGCAGGCAGGAAATCCCAGCCCCAGTGACCAGGCAGCAGGGAGGCAGGCATCTCTCAGCCCAGCCGGGCCAGCCCAGTCCCACCTGAGGACAGGGGGGAGGCTTGGAGGCTGAGGTGCACTCCTCTCACCCTACCTGCCTCTTTCCCTTCATCTCGCTTCCCCTCAAACCTCCTAGGGGTGACCCCGGAATCCCCTTGGCCAGGCTGGGGAGGGCATGCGTGGGGTGGGAGTCCGTGGCTGGCTGTGCAGACTCTCCTCAGGGGCCTCCTGGGCTGTCCCAGCAAGACAGGCACTCCTCCAGCCTCATAAGCTGGGAGGTAGGGCAGTAGCCACAGTGGAATCAAGAAGCAAGGGCTGGGCTGGGGACAGCAGGGAGGAGGGAAGGTGAATTTATTAGGGGGAGGGGAAAGAGATCAAACCCAAACAGGCTGAGGTCACCCCACGGTCTCAGTGGCTCTCCCCTAGACAGGGGCAGGGCCACCCTATGTCCTCAGCTAGCGCTCGGACAGTGAATTGCGGACCCCGTCTCCAGCCCTTCTTATCTCACTGGGTGGGCCTGCTTCACAGTTCACACACCCAAATACCCCAAATCCTCCTGGCCCTCCTCCATCACCTCATGGCCTCAGGGGCCTCCTATAGGCACCCCCTCCAGCCCCAGGCAGCCCCTGTGGGCTGCCAAGTCTCTCTCCTTGGGAAGGCTCCCCATCTTCCAAGTTCCCAAGAGAAGAGACAGCACGGAACGTGGATGCTCTGGCTACTTCAAGATAAAGGTGCGTAGACTCGCCCCCAAACAGAGCCTGGGCAGGAGGTGCGGGGACAAGGCCTGCAGACCAAAGGCAGAGGAAAGCGGACCATCCGTGCGGCTGTGGCCTGGCAGCACATCAGGACCCAAGGCTCACCCATGTGTACCTCCTCCCAGGCAGGGTGCTCCACACACACGATACTGCACCACGCCCACACAGCAGCACCCCAGCCAGCAGATGAGGAATATGGAGGCGGGATGCTGAACCTGCCACCTGCAGCCTGCCAAATGCCTACCATGATTTAATAAAGGGGAGTATAAAACAGGAGACCGTGCATGATCTAGACAAGTGGCAGATTGGAGCTGAGACCAGGGGATGCAGGGTAATGAACCGCCATGGGCGTGCTGCGCCACAGCCCACACAGTAATGCACATGCACACCTATGGTCAAGTCATCTGTCCCCCCCCAATGGCCTCCTTGAGCTTTCCAGGAGTGTGGCCTTTGGGGGGAACCCAGAGGGGAGGCTCCTGTGGGTATGAGATGGGGAGTCCCATGCGACCAGCAAACAGAGAATGGAAATCAAACACTGTCTCAAGAGTGTCCAGCTGGCCTGCCCAGAAAGTCCACTGGAGGCCCTCTGTCACCCCGCCTCAGCTGGCAGCCCTTGGGTCAGGACTCAGGAAGGAAGGGACGGGGGGGGGGGGGGGGGGGGGGGGGGACTATGCAGCAGGACAGGGGAGGGGGAGGCCCAGGACCCCTGGGTAGTTCAAGTGGCTCCACACAAACCCCATTCACCCCTCCTGGGGAGATGACCATGCCTGCCACTGGAGCCTGGTGGGCGCCACCTCAAATCCTCCATAGAGACAGTACGGCCTCCAGACGAGACCAGCAGAGCCAGGTGATGAAAGAAGCCCGAAAGGGAGGCCCAGAGGGACGCCCTGGCTTGCATTGGCCAGTGATGGCGATTAAAGTGACCCTGGGTGGAGGCCACAGGAAGGGTAGCACCTCCCTGGAGGGGAGCCAGATGCCCCCAGATGGGTCAACCTCTTTGATTGCATCCTGCACAGGCCCCTCCCAGCCCACAGTGGCCATGCACACGCGCTTGTGGAGATCCTGTCTGCCTCCCCAGGCTGGCAAAGAACCTGCTACCGTGCAGGGAGGGGGAGGGGCTGGGGCCTGGCCCAGTTCCTGCTGAGGCGATACTGCATTCAAGGGCTCTATTTGAGGAGGCGTGATTAATGAGCAGCTGACCGCGCCATGAACCACCAGGCAGGAATAGGGCCTGGGCAGGCGGGCTCTGTAATATAGGAGACTCTGGGGCCCGAAGCACCTACCTGGCACCGTGGAGCTCAGCGGCGGTGGTGCTGGAGATGGGATTGGAGGCTAGACTGGGGGGCCAGACAGGGCCTCCCTCCCCTGTGGCCAGTTGGCTAGTCCTTTCCCCAGAGTCCCAGGGCAGGAGGAGGGTGGAAGCGGCAGGCACACATTCAGGGAGGAGGGTCACCCGGACGGAGGGGCAGAGTCCCAGCGCGCACTTGCTTTCCATCCAGCTGTGTGGCCTGAGCCCGTCTCCCCTCCCCCAAAGCCATCACGTTGAGACCAGCATACAGCACCCTCAGGGTGACTCTTTTTGGAGAATGATTTTTCAAGGTGGTCTAAGGTAACAAGGGTCATAGGTGACGTCCTGTGACGGTCGCGCTTATATAGAAAGAGATGGGCGGGGCAGCACGGAACGCCGCGCTTGCGGCAGGCAGCGCGGGCGAGAACTTTGCGCGGGAAAGGCGGCGTGCACACGGGAGAAGGCACCGGGGGGGCCGGCCCCTGCGCTTATGCCTACCCTGGGCCTGGGCTCCGGCCCCGGGGGCGGCAGAAGGGGCAATCTGTGAATGCGGCCCGCGTCCCATGCCTGCGGCGTCACGGCGCCCAGGAGGGCCATGACCCCCACCCCACAGCGCAGTTATGTCAGCGACATTGTGCGCGACTCACCGCCATCTCCTTCCCCTCATAACCTCATAAAACAGCAGCTGCTACTCTAACCTTCCCTTCTCTGCTTCAGGCGACATCGCCTCCTCCCCCACCCCAACCAAGGGCGGTGCCTTCTGACTCTTTTTTGCACTGACTCAACGCGCAGGCTCCTCAGGCTTCACCCCTGTCAGGCATCACTGCACTATTCATGTTTTTTTAGCACAGGCTAGGGGCCCCCTGAGGCACTTCATCAGCTCATCTATTTTCAGAGGGACCCCCCCCCACTGCAGCCCCACACGCCCAGGGAGGCTCCTTCATCTCCTGTGTCCTCCTTGTACCCAGACTGACCAATCTTCAGGGGTTCTGCACCTGGCACGGGCGACATTCAGTTCAGGCCCATGGCTCTCAGTGAGGCCTGGGGCAGGCCTACCTGTGCAGCTCCTGCAGGCCCTCCTGGATCTGGACAGGCACGGCCTCGTTTACTTACCTATACCTGCTCTCACCCTTCCCACAACTTTGCTTTCCTGGAAGATGGTGATGGGGAAGAATCGAGCAAAGGCCATCGTAGTAAGCCCATATATAAAAAGAAACACTGCAAAAAACTTCCTTAAAACTTCCTACCTACCTAAGCCAAAAACTACTTACTCAAAGTATTACGCTTTGGCATAAAAATTGCCGCCTTGCCTTTCTGCTTACTTACTTTCTAAAGGCAAAAACTTTTACTTTGCTTGCTTACTTACTTTTGCCTTTTCAACAAAACTTAAAAATGAAAAAAAAAAAAACAAAAGAAAAGCCAGAACCGGGAAGTCATGCGGACAGACACTGCCCAGCCCCGCCCCACGCTGCCCCTACCAGAACCACCCCCTCCCCCGCCCAGAGTACAGGTTGGGGACGCTGCCCTCCGCCCCTCATCCGCCCCCCAGGCTCAGGGAAGCGTCTTGGAGGCCAGTGCCACATTACCTGGCAGCCCTCACCTGCCCCAGCTCAGGAGGCTCACGGGATAAGTCACCGTCCTCCTCCTCTTCGTCAGGCTCTGGGCAGGACTCAGGCATGGAGCTGCTCTCCATTGACCTGGCCGGACAGCTGGTCCTTCCCAGCCTTGCAGGAGCCATGCCGGTGTGGGCCAGGCCCCTAGAAAGGCCAGGGAGCCACTGCCGCTTTGGGGCCCGCCTGTGCCCACCCACACCCCCCGCTGGCCCCTCGTGCTCCAGCTGAGCCCAGGGGGACCCTGCCGGGGATGTACAGCCCCACGCGGACACGGCAGCCACGGAACATGCCAGGACAGCTCTGGAGAAGGGAGCAACGGCCCGCTGGTCTCCCATCTCTGCGTGGAAGGCGGCTGACAGCTGAGGATCCCCGGCACGGGGCGACGCGTCAGGACCTCAGGATTGGCTGACCCCCCAGCACGCTTCCCCCAACATGAGTGCAGGGGGGCAGCCAGGCGTAGCCAGCCGGAGGAGGCTGGAGGGAGGGTGGGGGTGGGTGGGGCCCAAGGGGGGGCATCAGGAGTGGAGTGGCTGGGAATTGCGCCCGTCAGGTGATCAGGGCTGAGGGGGCGAGTCAGGGGTGTCATGTGGACGAGGGCATGGCCTGCCTGCTGGGAGACTGGGGCCACCCCTGCCTTGCTGTCACTGCCCGTGGCTGCCTTGCCGGCCTCCAGCTGCAGAAGAAAAAGAGCACGCTGGCCCAGATGCCGTTCTGTTCTCTCACACAGACTCTCATGACGCGTGGGGTGGGTGGCACCCGTGGTGGAGAACTGCAGAGAAGCCCTGCAGGCTCGCAGCCCTGGGGTTTCTCAACCCGAGACCCTCTTGCTGCGCCTCCTGGGCCCCGCTCCTCTCCTGCTCTCCCTCGGCAGGCCCGGCCTCCTTCCCCTGGCCGGGGCCCCCATGCCCAGGCCTTGGAGCCTCAGTTCCCATGGAAGGCTGTGTCTTCCTCCCAGAGGCACCTCCTAGACCGGGAGCCAGCGGGCCAGGAGCCAGCAGCCCCCGGCACCGCGCCCTGCACATCTGGCTGCCCCGTGAACCCAGCCTCCTGCGAACCCAGGCGTTTCGGGTGCCGTGCTGGGCGGGGCAGGGCAGGGGATGGGGGGGCACTGGAACCCCACTGCTGGGAGGGAGTGAGTGGTGGAGTGGGGGGGGGGGGGGGACTGGAGGAGGGAGGCCTGGGCGGGCAGGTAAGAGTGAGGGTGGGGGGCGGCCGCCACACCCACCGCCTGACGGTCCCCTCCCGCCGCTGAGGTCGACCCCGGGTGGGGACCCTGGGGGAGCTGACCTGGTGCCTGGGCCCCGGGCTGCCCAGGAAGGCGGTCCGGTGGGCCGTGGTCCCCCGCTGTACGGTGTGCAAGACCCCGTCTTGCTCAAACTGGCTGATGTCCTTCAGGGGATCCCAGGGGCTGTGGCTGGAGGGTCCGGAGGGTCTCCGTTGGCAGAGGCAGTGGCCCCTGGGGCGAGGGGACCCGTCCCGGCCCAGCCTCAGCCCCCCAGCTCAGCCCCCAGAGGGGGACTACTGCCTAGGCCTGTGTGCAGGGCCCACGGGAGGGGGCGGCCGCGGAGCCCCGGGAGGACCCTCCCGCCCCCATCCCTGCCCCTCCAGGGCAGCCGGGGCCCCGTGTGGAGCAGTGGCCCCGGGGCCCCCCCGGCACTCACTCCTCGTGCAGGTAGCGCCACTCCTGGGTGGCGGGGTCCAGGCGGAACAGCTGCGGTTTCCAGGGCGTGAGGTTCTGCTGGCGCTCGCGAGCCCGCTGCCGCTGTGCCTCCTCCAGCAAAAACTTCTCCCGTGTGGCCTTGTGCTGGTCGCCCTCGCCGATGGCCCTGGTGACGTGCTGCCAGAGCCTGCGAGCAGGGCACTCGCTCTGAGCCGGGGGCCCTGGGCTGTCCCGCCCACTTGGCACCGGAGGGGAGGCTTAGAGCAACCTCCACTTGGTTGCCTCCGGCGACAGGCAGCTCACTCTCTCTCCTAGGGTGCTGTTTACTACGCACAATGAGATGGTTCTTTCCTACTCTGAGCTCACACCTCTCGCCCGCAGGGTCCTCCCTGTGGAGCTGCTGGTCACCTGCGGGCAGTGACGGATCCCCAAGCCCTCCGTCCCTCCCCCCGGCAATTGCCCCAGCGGGACACGTCATCGGTCACGAGAGGTCGGCTCTGGTCCACCCTCCCTGCCAGCGACATCCTGGGACAAGCTCAAAGCACCGTAGCCCTGCCGACCGGGAGGACAGCCGCCTGCCCAGCCACCGCGGGCTGGGGTCCCGGGTCCCGCGGCCGCCGGCAGGCCTCACCTCTCCGACTCCAGCTCGGTCTGCTCCTCAAATAGCACCGTGTGCCGCTTCAGCCTCTGCCCCCGGACCTCCCCACTCGGGTTCCAGAAGAGCTCGGTGCTTCCTCGGCCCTCCTCCTTGATAAACACTTCTCTGTCCTGCCCCAGACGGCCCGGGCAAGGTCAGAGGCACTGGCCCCATGGCTGTGCCCGTGCTCCGGGGGCCTGCCTGCGCCAGCCTCTTACCCAGTGACCGGTGAGATGGGCCAGGACCTCCTCTCCGGACGTGATCTTCCCCGAGATCTGGTTGATGCTGGTGCTGCCCCCGAAGAAAGGCTGCGGGGACACCCCGCGACAGTGCTCCTGAGGGGTCGGTGGCCTCCCCTGGACCCTTGTGCCCCTCCGCGGGCCGGGGGAGGAGGAGGCCCCTTCCTCATGAGGGTGCAGGCTCCCCGCCCCCGGGACGTGGGAGGCTAGGATGCGACCCAAAGCTGGGGGCGGCCACGCTCACCCCAAGCCTCAGCTTCAGCTCGAGGATGCCCCCACGGTGTGCGCCCCATGGAGGGGAAGGGGTCTGGGCCTGTGCCGGCCCCACCGTGCGGCCTGCGGGAACCCCCTCCTCTCTCCTGGCCCTGGCTGTGCCACAGAGATGCCAAGGGCAGCTCCCTCCTCCCGTGGGCATCTGCTCCAGAAACCCCGGGGCACCAGAGGGCTCCTCCCTGCCCTGAGGTGGCTGGGGGTGTGGCGGCCAGTGCTACCTTAAGCTTGAATTCCAGCTCAACTTGCAAGTTGTTCTTCTCACACTCGATGGTCACTCTGCCTCCCAGCTCCATGGTCATGGTGCCATACAGGATTCCTGAAACACAGTCCCTGCTCGGTCCTGCCTCGTCGCCCCGACCCAGCCACGCTGACCCCGAGGAGGCCGGTGTCGGACCCCAGGACGGAGAGAAGGGGCAGGGTGGGGGAGAGGACAGGGGCCCCTGGGGGCAGAGTCTCTGGGATGGAGAGGAGTCGGCCAGGGGGAGCGTTACCCCGACCACACCTGGCTCCTCGGTGACCCTCTGCCCCCAGGGCTTGTGCTCCCAAGAGTTGCTCTGTCCAGGGAATGTCCTGCCCTTTGCTGGGTGCCTTCCTCCAGGATCCCCCCTTTCCAGGCTCCCAGGGCCCCCACGAGACGCTCATCGCCATCTATCATTTGCTCTGCAGTTTGGGCCCCGACGTGAGTTCCTACATCCTCCCGGCTCATGGCTGCGCCCGGGATTGGCCCGGCATATTTATTTAAAGTAACAAACGTATTTTTTAATTAACCTAGGAATGGATGAATCTTCCGTTTCTGGCCATACGGGAGACTTACTCTAACTAAAGACAAGAGCTGTGTTGTGTCGGTTGTAAAACACCTGGGCGTGTGGGATAACGTGGAAGAAAAAAAAAAGAGACGAGCCACTTGGAACAGAATTAAGAATCCCACGGGCACACCTAAAGGCTCAGGATGGGGTTCTGCGGGTGGGTGCTGCAGAGTGGGGGGGGTGGTCCCCTCTCCGCTGGTGGGGACAGCGTCCCGAGACAGACACCAGCCTCCTCTGACTACACCTGTGGTTTAGACTTTGAAACCAGATAAACACTGCATTTCCACAAGCACTTAAAATATGACATTTGCCAAAGGAAAATGAAACTAAAACCAAGTGGGAATTTTTCTGGTAGTGTGATCCTGCAGGGGGATCAGTCCCCGGGACTTTACAGACCCCAGGGAGACAGGCCAAGATAAGAACAATCACCACAGAGAAAGCACAGAGCGCTTCTGGCCGTCATGCTATCGGGCTGGGTGGTCAGTGTCATTCTGACCGGTGTGCGTGGTGTGGGAGAGGAAAGGTGACCGCGGTGGTGTCACTTATAAAGGGGCTTTGTGGCAAGAGGGAGGAAGACGTTGCAGGTGCCCGGTCCCCAGGACTAAATAAAAGTCTGACGTCTGGGATCTGGATTGGAAACACGTAAACTCGTGATGTATTTTCATCTTAAAAAAAAAAAAACAAGATTAGCTACTGTTTAGTTACTGGAAAGTCCTAGAGACAATGACAAAGCACTCCTAAGAGGCAGGTCTGGCTTGCAGCTGTGATACCGAAACACCGTTTCCTACTGGCAGGAAGCTTGGCTTCCTGCAGAAATGCCTGCCTCGTGGTCTATGCCAGGAAGCGTCACGCTCCCGTGGGGCCAACCGGGAAGGAAGCGGGGTGTTAGGGCCCGAAGACGTCTTCCAAGAGGAGTCCCACACCCAGGTAGGAAGTCACTGAAGAGTCGAGTGCACCTTCAACCGACCAGTAAGGACCAGGGCGTCCGCACTGAGGGAGCCGGCCTGGGCGCTGCTGCCCTGGGCAAAGGGAGCCCCTCACCTTTGCAGTGGGCGTAGGGCATGGTGAGGGTGTAATCCTCCGCACGGTTCAGGAACGTGAGCGTGGCCTTGCCGTCCAGCAGAGCCGACAGGGAGTTCCCTGCGGAGATGCGGCCGGGGGAACCGGTGAGTGGAGACGGACCCTCAGGACCCCGGGGGCCCGCCCCCTAAGTCACAGGGTCTGAGCTCCCTTCCAGCAGGTGGAAAGAGGCCCCTGTCCCTCCAGCTGTGTGACTGTGGGGCAGCCAGGCCTCTCACTAACCCTGTGGGTCACTGAACCTCTCTGTGACTCAGATTCTGGAAAAGGCCCACCCAGGATGCCACACGTTAAGGTTGATTTCAGTTACCGAAGGGGGGATTTTCAGGGCGTAGGCTGCAAACGTTTGCAAACTAGCCCAACCCCCTGCTTGGGGTTTTTTTTTTTTTTTTTTTTTTTTTTTTTTTTTTTAATGTTTATTTATTTATTTTGAGAGAGAGAGAGAGAGGGAGAGCCAGCACAGAGCCCAACGTGGGGCTCGAGCTCACGAACCGTGACGTCATGACCCGAGCCCAAGTCAAGAGTCAGATGCTTCACTGACTTAGCCACCCAGGCGTCCCTACTCTGTTCGGATTTCGGGGAGACAGAAGCCATGAGCCACGTGGGGCCACAGAGCAAGTGCAGGGCAACTGAGGAGCTGCTCTTAAAACTTCATTTTGATCAATTTAAAGAGCCACACGTGCCTAGGGGTGCCGCACCGGACAGCCCAGCTCTAGACGGCACCTGTTGGCGCAGGTCCTTGCCCATGACCCTCACAGCGTCCCCGCAGGACGTGCCCTCCCTGCGGCTGAGGGGCGGCCGGGCTCTGCACAGACCCTGCCTCTCTCCGGGTCCCGAGCTCTTCACCACCCACGTGGTCCCTGACCCGGAGACGTGGGGAGGGAGACAAAGCCGGCCACCCCGTGCGGTCTTGGGGACCTCCGCATCCTATCATCCCCCAGCTGGGACAGCCCAGGGGAGCCCCCTCACCGTAAAACCGGGACTTGGCTGTGATGTTGCCGCTGATGCAGAAGCCGTCCTTCCTGTTACTGACATGGAAGGCGGACACGGGCGGGTGGTGGGACACCTGCGGGCAGAGGACAGAGGACAGTCCTCCCCGGGGAGGGCAGAGCCCGGCTTCCTGACGAGAAGCCCCCGTCCCCTGCCCCACCGCATCCCTCCTGGCCATTCCCGGCTCTCAGTCCCGCTGCCCAGGGAAGCGGAGGGGACCCCACGTCGGTGCAGAGCGCCCGGGGGGGTCAGGGTGTGCCGTCCCCTCCCGAGGAAGCACCTTCTGCTGTCCCGGGGCCTGTCCCCGACTGCAGCTCCCGGGAGGATCCCGACGGCGGCCGGGGGGCCGCCAAGAACGTGCGCTGGGGTCGGAGTGCCCACCACGGGCCCGGCGTGCCGCCTGGGAGCGGCCGGGCCTTACCTGCTCCGCGATGTAGAAGGTGTGGCTGCTGGTGTGGGGGTGGAACCAGCGGCAGCGGAAGGTCTCCCCCAGGACGGGGTTGTACGGCTTCTTGATCCCCTGCGGGCAAATGACCGAGAGGCGCACGTGAGGAACTGGGCCCAAGCAGGACGGGGTGTGGACGCAGGGACAACCTGGGGGGCTGCCCACTGCCCACCCCCATCCCTACAAGGGACGGCCTGCCTGGCCACCAGCACTGGGGGCAGCGCCCCACTTCTGCTTTGGGGAGAACACGCTTTGCCCGTGGTTTACGTTCTGGGGGGGCAGCCTATGAGGTGTCCTGTCCGGTTCCCGGCTCCGAGGGGGACCGGAGACCCTGAGCAGGTCACACTTTCCCTGGACTTTGGGTGAAACCAGCGCACAGCCTGTTCGAAGCCCCCAGTGGCTTCTATTGACCTTTTCAGTAGGACCCCAAGCCCCCAGCCCTGCGCCCCACTCCCCAACTCCGCTCGCCACCTTTCTGCTCCCGCAAACGGCCCAGGTTCGTCCCCGCTGCAGCAGGGAACAAGTTCCCGCTCAGGACAGCCCTCCTTCCGGGTCTCGGACCCCCTCATCGGATCGGCAGCAGCTGGCCACCCCTTCACGCCATCCAGCAGACCTCTGTGCGCACGCACGTGTGTGTGCCTGTATGTATGTGAGTGTGCGTGTGCACATGTGTGAGAGTGCCTGTACGTGTGTGCCTGTGAGTGTGTGCATGTGTGCCTTATGTCTGTCCATGTGTGTGTGCACATGTGTGCCTTACGTGTGTGCCTATGAGTATGTGTGTGCGTGCACACGTGTGCGTGTGGGTGCCCGTACGTGTGTGTACATGTATGTGTGTGCACACGCACATGTGCGTGCCTTACATGTGTCCATGTGTGTGCACATGTGTGTGCGCATAGGAATGTGTGCGCGCACGCACGTGTGCGTGTGTGCCTGTACTTGTGCGTGTGTGTGTGCACGTCAGTGTGTGCCTGTGTGTGTGTGCACGTGTATGTGCCTGTGTGCACGCGCGTGCCTATACGTGTGTGCGGGTGTGCATGTGTGTGCATGTGTGCTTGTA